AGTGATTCTCTTGCCTCAGCCTCCTGAATAGCTGGGACTACAGGTCTGCACCACCATACTCGGTTAATTTTTTGAGACAGAGTCTTGCTCTGTTGCCCAGGCTGAAGTGCTAGTACAATCTCAGCTCACTGCAACCTCCACCTCCTGGGTTCAAGTGATTCTCTTGCCTCAGCCTCCTGAATACCTGGGACTACAGGCAACTGCCACCACATCCAGCTAATTCTTATATTTTTGTAGAGACTGGGTTTCATCATGTTGGTCAGGCTGGTCTTGAACTCCTGACCTCATGTGATCCACCTGTCTTGGCCTCTCAAAGTCCTAGGATTACAAGCATGAGCCACCACACCCAGTCTAATTTTTGCATTTTTAGTAGAGACAGGTTTTCGCCATGTTGGCCAAAGCTGCTCACTTCGCCCTCCCCCAGTGCTGGGATTATGCCCAGCCCAAAGTTAACTTCTTAAATGCTTTTTTACATTATCTTGAAAACATAATTCCCATTGTATTTGTATTGCCTTAAACACTGAAATTGTTTCTACCTGAACATTATAAGAGGGGAGAAAATAGATTATAGTCCAAGTATGCTCCCACAAATAGTTAAGATCCAAATGACAGAAAATATAATCATTAGCATGGTATTTTGGTGGTAGCATTTTGTTGGTGGTAGCATTTTGGAATAATTTCCCTTTTTGAGGTTTTTTTTTTTTTTTCTTTGGAGCTGGAGTTTCACTCTTGTCAGCCAGTCTGGAGTGTAATGGCATGATCTCGGCTCACCGCAACCTACGCCTCCCAGGTTGAAGGGATTCTCCTGCCTCAGCCCCCCGAGTAGCTGGGATTGCAGAAATGGGCCACCACAATGGCTAATTTTGTATTTTTAGTACAGACACGGTTTCTCCATGTTGGTCTGGCTGGTCTCGAACTCCTGCCTCAGCCTCCCAAGTGCTGGGATCACAGGCATGAGTCACCACACCTAGCTTTTTTTTCTTTTCTTTTTTGAGATGGGAGACTCGCTCTGTCACCAGGCTGGAGTGCAGTTGTGTGATCTCAGCTCACTGCAACCTCCTCCTCCCAGGTTCCAACGATTCTCCTGCCTCAATCTCAAGTAGCTGAGACTATGGGCACAGGCCACCACGTCTAGCTAATTTTTTTGTATTTTTAGTAGAGACAGGGTTTCACCATGTTGGCCAGTATGGTCTTGATCTCTTGACCTCGTGATCTGCCGGCTTCAGCCTCCCTAAGTGCTGGGATTACAGGCGTGAGCCACCAGCCAAGTTCTTTATTTCTCAATTTTTAATGTGCTTTTTCTGTAAGTTTGGTATATTAAAGTATCTTCATATAATGGCTCAATAAAATGCTGATTTGCAGTCTCTCCCCAACTTTCTTAAATCTAGAGTTAATAAAACTATTGCATAAAAACAATTACCTTAACTTTCACCAGCCTTTTCACAGTCTTAATCTTTGCCTCACAGAAGGCACCTCGGTACTTGGCACTGACATCAGTTCCCACTGTCAGGTAGGCAGGCTCATCCGCCGCCTGGTGAAAAGAACATAAACTGTAAATGTCGTTACTACATCTCCCTACTCCAACCTCGAGTCTCATTAAAAGATTGTGTTTGAAGCATTAAGAATATTTAAATAACTTATTAGTATCACTGAAAATTTGAAAAATACCCTAAAGCAAACACTTGATTAGCAACCCTTTATTTTATATACTGATGTTCCGATATGATAAAATGTTTTAAAGTTGTAATTCAAAATTATTAGTGATGAAATACAATGTTTTTCCTCCAGATACAAAATTTTTCAAAAATTCTATTTATATAAGCAGAAAAATAAGACAAGAAAATATTTCATATTATACATATCATAAAATTGTTATTCATTTATAGCCTCCTGAAAATAAATTTTTAAAATAATTATAGATTTAAAAATTTAATAAATTTATTTAATTTCAAATTAAAATATTGCTACTAAAATTAACACTAAAAATAGATCATTGTTCATTGACATAGCTATATAAAGGTAACATCTTTTCATAAGGAGAGTATAATTTGGAAAATTCATTGGCTAAAAGCTGCACTTGAAAGGTTTTAAGTTTGAATTCAGCCAATGAATGCAGATATGAACCCATGGCTCAAGACTTGTAGACATACCTAGTTTACCACACTAAATTTCTTAGTATAAAAATACAAGCACTACTAATAAACATCTACTGTTAGCAAACGGACATGATCATAATGATACATCGAAAGATGTGAGAAATTTCACTCTACCACTCATTTTAATCTTGACGGTAACAGGATGCTTGTTATCTCAATGTCATTTCACCTTTTTTTTTTTCCCCAGAAGTTAAAGTGTATCCGTACAATTTCAACTTAACATTGTTAAATGCAAAAGTAACAGTGTATACTTTAGAGATACGTTTTTAAATAGAAAATGTTTTTGTTTTCCAATAAGTCTTCCCAAGTAATAGTAAAGAAAGTTAAATACGTCATTTACTTCGAGAACATTGAAAACCACGAGAAAGTTTGGGAAAATGCTGTGTTTCAGAGCTTAATATACTGAAACAGTAAATAAGACAGGAATTAGGTACTGTTTAAAGTAAGTGCATTAACAAGAAATACAAATTGAATAGGAATGATTTTGGCAAATAAAAATCTGACCTGAAACACTCAATGGCCACAGCATTCAAGAATGTTTGTTATATGAGATCCTTTCCCTTTAACCATCCACATACTGTTATGTGCAGTCATTCTCAGTAGAATATGTGTCTTTTTAGGTCAGTATATGTTTTTAAATATTTACTGTACAGATTTAACTAAAACGATAATATAGTTCAACTTCAAATATTTTATCCACGAGTTCACTAAACACATAGAAGAAATGATACCTTCATTACTTAATCCACGTATTCTTTCTCTTAGAAAATCACATTGGCACTGGGGAAGAAAAAAATTTTCAAAAAATCCCCCAAAGAACCAAAGCAGGACAAAAGCTTTACTTCTGCAAAGGTTGCTGCCAATACAGGAAGTGTTTAAAAATACTATCCTAATGGACAACTGAAAGGCTGCACCAGCCTTTCCAAAGTGCTGCTACAGAGAGGGCCCCAAACTCCGCATTTAGACACACATCATTTCTCACCCATTCAAGACATCCTCCTTTGCCGAAACTGCTGCTCAGTAGGGACATCAATTTTGAGTAGCAAACAAATGACATTCCAAGGCACTAGTCTCAGGACTGGCAGTGTCCAGGGCACGAGGATTGGGGCAGCGCTGACTCCACTTACCTTCATTTTTGTTGGTGATCTGTGGGGTTCCAGCTCAGCGAGCTATCTTTGCAGTCGCTAGAACTATGGGGAGGGGGAAAGACCGGCACAGAATCAGTCAACTGCGGGGAGCGACCAAGGGAAAGAAAGTAAACAAATGCCAGCGGGAGGGGCAGAATCCTCACCGGTCAAGGGACAGGACCCCTCTCCAAGGGCGGGCGCAGGATCTGAAGGGGCAGCTAGAACCCCAGGCGCGCCAAAGAGCAGCCCGTTCCGCCCCGGAGCTCGCCAGCGGCCCACCGCGCCCCCGCCTCGGTGGCCACTTGGACCCGGAATGCTCAACTCGGGAGCCCCAGGACAGATAGCTCGGGAAAAGGGCAAGGCGCCGTTCGGGCTTCCCCAGGTCCCCCGCGGAGGCGACCGCCAAGCCTCCGCTCCGCTGTCCCCCGGATACCCCGACTTCGGCCCGCGCCCCGCCTCCGCCGCTCGGCCCCCTTGGCCCGCCCGCGGTGGCGGCAGCGGAGTGTCACGGCGCCATTGCTCTCGTTCCTTCGCTCTGCACCATGTCAGGAAGGAGAAGCGCTCCTTCACCCGAAGGGGCAGGGGCCGCGGCCTTCAGCCGGGAGCCGCCAGAGCCCCGGGAGAACCGCGCGGGGGAGGGGGCGGGGGGCGGAGGGAGGAGGTGGGGAGGTGGCCCGGGCTGGGTGTGGGAGGGGAGGGGAACCGCACCGCAGCAGCCGCCGCCTCCTCCCCGCGCCCGCCTCAACTTTTTGTACAGCCCAGAGAGGTATCAGCCCCCAAGCCCTCGAGTCCTGCCAGGGACTCCGCAGGGGTGGACGCGCCGCAGAGTTGGGGGACGGCTCCTCCAAGCAGCCCGCTTCTACCGCGCGGAAGCAAACTTAGCGGCGCAGTCAGCCCCACAGCCATTTTCCCGGGAACCCGGGGAAGCGGACGAGGAGGCGGCTGCAGCGGCGGCGGCGGTTCCCGCAGTTGCTGCCGCTTCTCCACCGCTGGCCCCTTCCCTTGCGCTAGCCGCACCACTTGCCTAGCATCCCTCTCCCCACCTCCAAAGCTTCCAACTGCACCGGGACCCCGGGCGGCAGCAGCAGCTGCTACTGCCGCTTCGTCCATTCAGTATCCCCCGATTCCCCTCTCCCCACCTACCAACTGCGGGTGAAGTGCGCGCTGTCAGCTCCAGAGTCCTCCGCCCCTCTGACCTCCGTGGGCCCCCGTCCGGGCAGCACCACTCCCGGCCGCGGCGACAGTTCCTGCGCCCGGTTCCCCACTCGCCCCGATTTACTGCCACAATCCACCAAATAACAAGCTGTTGAGCCGACTCGCTTCTACACGAACTCCTATTGGCTGCTCATGACGCCGAAGAGCTCCGGATAGGACCTCGCTACCTGCCGTCCTCATTGGATGTAGCTCTGAAACTTCATGGATTGGTGCGAAAAACAGCAGGTAGGACATCTTCCACTTATGATTGGTTTTTTCTGAAGACCAACGTTATTGGAGAGTTGGTTATTGAGTAAGCAAGTCCTGAGAATTGATTGGTAGACACGACTCCGGATGTGCTTAACTGGGCACTGATTGGTGAATTGAGGGGTCAGGAAGAGCAGTTCGGCACGAGGATTGGCGGCGGAGTGTCCCATGGAAACGGAACCTAGAATTGCAGCCAGCGGCTTGCACGGGGGCGGGGCAGTGTCTTTCCTAGGCGCCTGCGCCAAACCAGCTTCCCGGCGCCATTTTGTCTCGGCAGCGGTGGCCGCAGCTCCATCGCATTTTAGGTTTCTGGCGAGAAGGAAACGGAGTTTTCATTTAGTAGGTTCGTTTTTCTGCGGCAGCCGTCACCGTTTCCTCCAGGACAGCACCTAGTCTTGGACGGAGGAGTCTCAGCTGTCAAAAGGTCAGTTGGAGGCTGTGGTTGTCCGATTGACTGGGGGGGATGTCGCAGCTCTAGCGGCACCGGCACCGGAAGTAAGGGGGCCGCGGGCGGCCATGGTTTCCAGTCAGTTCTTCTTGGCGGCGGGGTGGGGAGAAGGGGTGGGATGAAAGGGGGCGAGGCTTCCTCTCCCGCCGAGAGAGAGAGAGAGAGAGAGAGAGAGAGAGGGGTGGAGGAGAGAGAAATCTCTTTTTTGTAGGTGATCGTTTGGGCTCTCGAGAATGTGAGAGATTTTTTGGATTCTGTCCCTCTCTGAACAGTCGTTCCTGTCTTTGGAAATGCATTTCGGGGACTTGCCGTATTCTCCACCTGTTTGGCACCAGCTGTGGGAGCCTCTTAATTAAGACAGGGAAGAAGTGGTTCTTAAAAACATCCTGCTTGGAGAGAGCTTCTGCGTGCTCCTCGCGCGACAAAGCTGTGAGGAAACTGGAGAAAGCGCTGGCTTTCTGGATGCTGAGGAGTTTACTTGCCAGCGCAGACGCTGCTTCTGGGACCTTAGACAAGCGTGTGTGTCACTCCGCACGAGGCTTATGCTACTTTTTGAAAGGAAACAGTGATTTTGCAGGACTGAAAACGTCTTAAACACAAGGACGTCCCAGATAAGTCAGACGTTGATCCTGTTCTGTTGACATCTTGTGTTTTGGTAGTGAAACAGACACATATTTTTAAGTAGGGAAATTGGAGTATAAATTGACTAGTTGTTTTATAGAATGGAATGATTTTTTTAAAGACATATCGTCAGTAATACCCACGTGGACTAAATTTTCTCAGTAAGAAAACGTCTTAGCAGAATCAATTTTAATTTATAACTGGGATTTTACTCAAAAGTATTCATTAAGAAAGTGAACTCTATGTTGGTATTTCTAGTGAGTGACCCAGTCACGCTGGATAGATCCTAATAATTACCCTGAATACTTGTTTTAAAACGTACTGCTATATTGGTGGAGCTCAAGACTAGAAAATGGTTGTGTGACTTAACAATTACTGGGGTTTTTGACAGTTGTGCTGAAGAAAACAGAACATCTCAGTGGCAAATCTCTCAAAGCATTACTGAGGTGAGTCATAATGTCTGTAAAAATCCTTAGAATTACGGGGGACCACCTGGAAAAACTTTCTGTGGATTAGTTGAGGAATACTAGAATGGACGAAAAGTAGTTCAAAGATGTTTTGATTTAAATGAGTCTATATAATTAGTTTCCTGGTGTAACATTTTAGAATGAAATTCCCAAATCAGGACATCCTTACGGATTTGTGTACCCATTTATGTGGTTCTCATTTCTGGATTTCGAAGTACCTAATGTTTTTTATCGTGAAACATGCATCACGTGGCTCACGCCTGTAATACCAGCACTTTGGGAGGCCGAGGCGGGTGGATCACCTGAGGTCAGGAGTTCGACACTAGCCTGACCAACATAGTGAAACCTTTTCTCTACTAAAAATACAAAAAATTAGCTGGGCGGAGTGGTGGGTACCTGTAATCCCAGCTACTCGGGAGGCTGAGGCAGGAGAATCACTTGAACCCGGGAAGCCGAAGTTGCGGTGAGCTGAGATCGCGCCATTGCATTCCAGCCTGGGCAACGAGAGCGAGACTGCGTCTCAAAAAAAAAAAGAAAAAAAAATATTCTAGTTTTGCTCATTTTCTTACTATTTTTGTTTCTAGACTTTGGGAACATTGAACGTATTTTGTCGTAAAGCATCCTTTATGTCTTCATAGTGTTTTGTGGGATAAATACACCATAATTTATGTAACCTGCTTATTTTTATATAACAGCAGTAATATGTCAGTGAATATCCTTGTACATGTTTTGCAAAATATTGTGTCTAAGAAGGTTGTTGCAGAAATAATTGTGGTTTTTGCATTATTGGCATTTGCCATTTGATGTTGGACTGCATTGTTAAATGTGAATACGTTATACATCATTTTAATGGACATTTCTTTTTTTTGCCAATGACTTACTACTTGCTATTTCACGTTTATTTTATTTATTTATATATTTATTTTGAGGTGGAGTCTCGCTCTGTCACCCAGGCTAGAGTGCAGTGGCACGATCTCGGCTCACTGCAGCCTTGCCTCCCGGTTCAAGTGATTCTCATTGCCTCAGCCTCCCGAGTAGCTGGGACTACTGGCATGTGCTACCATGCCCAGCTAATTTTTTGTATATTTGGTAGAGACAGGGTTTCACTGTGTTAGCCAGGATGGTCTCGATCTGACCTCATGATCTGCCTACCTCTGCCTTCCAAAGTGGTGGGATTACAGGCGTGAGCCCCCTCGCCTGGCCTGCATGTTTATTTTAGACTATGAAAATGATGTTAGACAAAAAGCACATTTGAGTGGTTTTTTTATTTGAGTTCAAAATGGGTCAAAGCAGCATAGACACCTCACAACATCAGCAGTGCATTTTGGCGAAGGAACTGTTAATGAACATACAGTGCAGGGATGGTTCAAGAAGTTACGAAGAGGAGGAGAGCCATGAAGATGAGGAGCTTAGTGGCTAGCTGTCAGAAGTTGATAACTGCCAGTTGAGAGCAATCAGCAAAGCTGATCCTCTTACAACTATTTGAGATATTGCCAAAGAACACAATGTGGACCATCTATAGTCCTTCAGCATTTGAAGTAAACTGAAAAGTGAAAAAGCTTGATAAGTGAGTGCCTTTTGTTTGCCCTTATTGTACACAACCACAAATCATTTCTTGATGAGATTGTGAGGTACAAGAAAAAATGAATTTTATATGACAACCAGGGATGGCCAGCTCAGTGGTTGGGCTGAGAATATGGTCCAAAGCACTTCCCAAAGCCAAACTTGCACCAAAAAAAGGTCATAGTCACTGTTCGGTGGTCTGCTGCTGGTCTGATCCACGACAGCATTTTGAATCTAGAGGAAACCATTACATCTGAGAATTATGCTCAGCAAATTGATGAGATGCACCCAAAACTTGGCAACACTTGCAGTCAGCATTGGTCAACAAAAAGAGGCCGGCCCAATTCTGCATGACAATGCCTGTCCACATGTTGCACAACCAATGCTTCAGAAGTTGAACAAATCAGGTTATGATGTTTTGTTTGATCTGCCATATTTACCTGACCTCTCCAACCGACTGCCACTTCTTCAAGCATCATGACACCTTTTTGCAGGGAAAAAACTTCCATAACTAGCGGGATGCAGAAAATGCTTTCCCCAGAATTCATCAAATCCTGAAGCATGGATTTTTACACTGCAGGAATAAACAAACTTAAAAATGTGTTGATTGTAATGGTTGCTATTTTGATTAATAAAAATGTGTTTGAGCTTAGTTATAATGATTTAAAATTCACGGTCTGAAACTGCAATTACTTTTGGACCAATGTAGATGCTGAATTTTCGATGCTGAAATTTCTAGGCATCTAAATCTTTTACATCCCTGATAATTTTTGGAATAATCTCCCAGAAGTGGAAATACAAGGCTGAAGGCCTCATGTGTTGGCTGAAACCTTTAATCCCAGCACTTTGGGAGGCCGAGGTGGGTAGATGGCTTGAGCCCAGGATTTCAGGACCAACCTGGGCAACATAGTGAAACCTCCTCTCTACAAACAACGCAAAAATCAGCCAGCTTGGTGGCGTGCACCTGTGATTGCCAGCTAATTGAGAGGCTGAGGTGGGGAAATCACCTTAGACCCGGAAGGTCAAGGCTGCAGTGTGCTGTGATTGTGCTACTAAACTCCAGCGTGGGCAACAGTTGAGACTTTGTCTCGTGTGTGTGTGTGTGTGTGTGTGTGTGTGTGTGTGTTACATGTTTAAGATTAGAGATGCTTATACAGTAGTGTATCAAAAAGCTTTTCTTATTGCATTTAACATTTGTTATCCTTTTCATTACTGTCCCCCCACCCTATTTTCTGGTTTTTCTTTAGCTTTATTTTTGAACATTCTCTCTTGGACCTCTGTTTCTTCAAGTAGAAATATCACAGTCTTTAAGTTACACATACCATAAAATACATGAGAATTTTTCTTCGACCCTAGGATTTTTTTTTTAACTTTATGTATTTTTTTCACTTTAGGTGAGCATTTGTACAGTGAAACATTTTGCTACACAGAAGTGATGTTTAGAATACTAACAACAAATTATTTTTTGGTCTAGTTAGTTGAATTTAACTGCTTCATTTTTCCTTGTAGACTTCTCTAAAGTTTCCCATTCTTGTGTGCATTCATTCCTCAGTGCTTTGGTAACTTGATGATAAAGACCTGTGTCTCACCACACTTTCTTTGCATTTGTTTGACTCTTCCCAAATTTGAAACTTTGTTCCCAGAAAGCAGCAACTGTTTTATTTTATCACTGTTACACGTTCCCTCTCCTCTGTAGATGGCGCTTCTGAATCTGTATGCACAGTTCTGAATCTGTATGCACATCTGTATACACAGCCAACAAAGTTGGCTTTATGTGAAATAAGCCAACTTAACATCTTTTGGTTTCTTGGGGTTTTTTTCCTTTTTTCTTTCTTTTTTTCCCTTTTTTATTGTGTTGTTTTGTTTTTGAGACAGGATCTCTGTCACCCAAGCTGGAATGCAATGGCATGATCCTAGCTCATTGTAGCCTCAAACTCGTGGGCTCAAGGGATCCTCCTAATTTGGCCCCGCAAGTAGCTGGGACTACAGGTGTGCACCATCAGGCCCAGCTAAATTTTTTTTTAGTTGCCCAGGCTTGTTTTTCAATGTAATGTCTTTTAACAATAATTCTTTCCTGAAAATTAATGTTTCACAGATGCTGTTTTAACCATAAATTTTTAAAATATTCCAAATACATAGTTTAATACGGAATTGATTTGTAATTGATAATGAAATGTAGATTTAGATGACCAAGAAGAATGTATCATGTTCGCTTTGGCAGCTCACTTCGTAAAATTGGAACGACACAGAGATTAGCATGGCCTCTGTGCAAGGATGACATAGGAAGCATTTCATTTAAAAATAAATTTTTTTTTTTTTTTTTTTTTTTTTTTAAGAGACAGAGTATCGCTCTTGTTACCCAGGCTGGAGTGCAATGGCGTGATCTTGGCTCACTGCAACCTCCGCCTCCTGGGTTCAGGCAATTCTCCTGCCTCAGCCTCCTGAGTAGCTGGGATTACAGGCATGCGCCACCATGCCCAGCTAATTTTTTGTATTTTTTTGGTAGAGACGGGGTTTCGCCATGTTGACCAGGATGGTCTCCATCTCTTGACCTCGTGATCCACGCACCTCAGCCTCCAAAAGTGCTGGGATTACAGGCTTGAGCCACCGCGCCCGGCCCTGTAATTTTTTTTAATCACTCTTATGAACGAGAGTGTTTAGGAGGGAAGTAAATTTGTGTGTGTGTGTGTGTGTGTGTGTGTGTGTGTTTAAATAAACAGTCTGTATTATGGATGAGCTATAACATACTCAAATTTTTTAAAAAGTCTTTTGTCTTTTAGAGTGACTGATTTTGTGGGAAAATTAAGCAAGGTGTTCCAGTTTTTAAAAACCTAGATCTGCAGTCTGTTTGTGGTAAGTAATTTTACTTAGCTACTCTTATGTAATCAAGACTGGTAATGTTGCTTGTGTGTGTGTGTGTGTGTGTGTGTGTGTGTGTGTGTGTGTCTGTCTTTTGAAAAATGATAGAATTTGTTAAACTATACAGTTATTTCTGTACACATGAGTATATACTGAGAAGTGGAAATGATTGCTACAGAATGTTGCAGCTTTTGTAAAGATTTAATTTATGGGAAGTTACATAGTTTAATTACTTGTAACCAAAGCAGACTTTGTAATTTCTATGTTGTCTTTTGCCCTGTTGGATTTTTTTTTTTCTTGAGACAGAGTCTTCTCTGTCACCCAGGCTGCAGTACAGTGGTGCAATTTCGGCTTACTGCAACCTCCATCTCCTGGGTTCAGGCAGTTCTCCTGCCTCAGCCTCCCGAGTAGCTGGGAATACAGGTGTGCGCCACTACACCCAGTAATTTTTGCATTTTTAAAAGAGACGGGGGTTTCACCGTTATTGGCCAGGCTGGTCTTGAACTCCTGTGCCCTCGTGATCTGCCCACCTCGGCCTCTCAAAAGTGCTGGGGCTACAGGCGTGAGCCACTGCACCCAGCGATGTGTTAGGTTTAACTGCTGATTTTATGGCCATGTGGAGTCATAGATAATGGTTTCGTTTCACCAGTAATTCATACTAGAATGACAGCATATTTTGGGATTCAGATTCAAGCAGATAATGAGTTGCCTAATGGCTTTCCTGCAAGGATCTATGCTCCAGCAGCTTATGGTCAATAAAAAAGACAATGTAATTACACATGTGGAAAGTTAAGTCGTTACTTCAAAAAATTTAAGCAATTTATGTCATCTTATAGATTTAAATGGAACCTGATAATAGATATATCAAAGTTCTGTATACAGTAACATCTAGTGGTTCTTTTAAAGGACAAATTGCTTTAGAAAGCAGAGCAGAAAGAAATGTATAATGGTTGTTAAAGGCTTTTCACGGATAGTGAGTTATAATGTATAAAATTAGAAGGAGAGAAGGCATTCTAATTGGATGAAAGGTGGTGAGCAAGAATATAAGAAAATCTGTATTTGGGACAGAGGGTAAACCAGCTCAGAAAGGATGATTGGCTGAAGATTATATAGGGAAAATTGCATGTGGCCAGCTACTAATGTTTCAGCTGCACGTCTGAATCCAGTGGAGTATTAATTACGGCCCGGGGTTCTAGAGGGTCTTAGAAGATTGGGTGTAAGCAGAAATTGACCATTATTTTTGTTTTGTCTTATTTCCAATTTTACAAATTCTAATGGAACTAAAAAATAAAATCGGTCAGGCTTGGTGGTCACACCTGTAGTCCCAGCAGTTTGGGAGGCCAAAGTGGACAGATCGCTTGAGGCCAGGAGTTCGATACCAGCTTGGCCAACATGGTGAAACCCCATCTCTACTAAAAGTACAAAATTTAGCTGGGCATGGTGGCATATGACTGTAATCCTAGCTATCCTGGAGGCTGACGCAGTGGAACCTGGGAGATAGAGTTGCAGTGAGCCGAGATCATAGCACTGCACTCCAGCCTGGGCAACACAGCGAAACTATCTCAAAAGAAAAAAAAAATCACTTTTAATGCCACTCGAAGAGATTTTTTTAAATTGCCTTCTTCCTTGTCTATGTGTATTTTCTTTCATCTTAGAGTAGTGTTGGGTTTTCTGTGTTCCTTTAACATTATAACAAGCGTTCAGTATAACTGCTTGGACAGTCTCCATAATGATTTTAATGCCTGAAAATATTCCATCAAGCTTCTTCATCTTTCTCATTTTTCTATTGCATGATTATGTAGGTTTCATGGTCCTTCACTTATCTTCTTTGCACATATAGTATTTTCTATCTTTTGGACTGTTCCTTTAGGGGTAAATTTAAAAAGTCATTGTGTGATTATTTTTATGACTCTTGAAACATTGCTGTGTTGTTTTTCAAGCTGGTTATAATAATTTACACTATCACCCTCCCTGTGAGTTTAGCTAGTGGCATTGAATGGTCTATAATGACCATTTTTGCTAATTTAATAGGTGCAAAATATATTGAGCTCATTTTTTCTTTGTAAGGTTTTTATTGTGAATTAGTGAAATGAGACCTTGTTCTGTGATTTCACTTACTGATTCTTTTACAGGTTGTCTATTCAGATTTCTAATTGGGTATTAGAGTCTTGATATTTTGTTTAATTGGTTGAGTTTATTATGTAATAGTAACTTCCTGTACATATTTTTCCAAACAGATTTCCCTTTTAATTTTTGTTAATTTTGCTGAAGGTTTTTGAACAGATACAGAAAGGCATGTCATAAATAAAATACAGTGTTGGAAAATTATTTAGAAACAACACCCAATATAACTGAAGAAATGACACAGGAATTGGAGGTAGGGAGACAGGATACTATGGAAGGGGTTTCAGCATGAGATGAAACTAGAGTAGGATCTGGAGAGAGAAAGGAATAGGTGAGCAAGAAATTATTTTGCGGGGAGGAAAACTTGGCAGCGTTTGATCTCTGATTATAGAGGTAGAGAAGAAAGAAAACAAAATACACTCAAGATTTAAGAAAGAGGGAACAAGCAGTACCATTCACTAATTTGGCAAGGCAAGAAAAGCCACTGGTTGGTAAAGAAGATGAAATCTGTTTTATTTATTTATTTATTTATTTATTTTTGAGACGGAGTTTCGCTCTTGTTACCCAGGCTGGAGTGCAATGGCGCGATCTCGGCTCACCGCAACCTCCGCCTCCTGGGTTCAGGCAATTCTCCTGCCTCAGCCTCCTGAGTAGCTGGGATTACAGGCACGCACCACCATGCCCAGCTAATTTTTTGTTATTTTTGTAGAGACGGGGTTTCACCATGTTGACCAGGATGGTCTCGATCTCTTGACCTCGTGATCCACCCGCCTCGGCCTCCCACAGTGCTGGGATTACAGGCTTGAGCCACCGCGCCCGGCCTGAAATCTGTTTTAAACATGCAAGTTAGAGCTTGGAATGTCCACTAAGCATTTATTTGTTTTGTTAAAATCTTTATGGGTCTCTTAATTGGGACAAGGCATGAAACTGGACCTTATATTGTTTCTACGTTGTAGCTTTTAATTCTATTCTATTAGACTTAGATGTAAATGATACTTTAGTTCTGCTTGAATTAAAAATATTTAAGTTTAGGAAACCCAGGTGATTCTCAAATTAAGGAGTGATAAGTTTTTCATTATTGAAAAAATGTAGTTTTATGAGAGTATCTTACAAATTTTTTTGCCCCAAAATGAATTCATAATAACTTATTATATCATGTCTGAAAAGGATCTAGTTTGAGGCACTGAGAAGGGTAGGACATAGGTTGCAAAGAGCCCCTATCAAGGCAAAATCAATTCTGCTAAAATTGAAGCAAGGACAAACATCAAATTGATGGTGAAGGTTGTGATGTGGAAGAATGGCGAAATCATCGATACTTTACAAAAAGTTTATGGAGACAGTGCCCCAAAGAAGTCAGTAACAGTTTACAAATGCATAACTAGTTTAAGACAAAACAGAGTTTTAGATGAAGCCCACAGCAGCAGACCAATCACATCAATTTGACATGGAAAAGTTAATCTTGTTTATGCCCTAATTGAAGAGAACCAACAATTAACAGCAGAAACAATAGCCAACATCATAGACATCTCAATTGGTTCAGCTTAAACAGTTTTGACTAAAAAAATTAATTGAGCAAACTTACGACTCAATGGATGCCAAAACTTAAACCCAGATCACCTGCAGACAAGAGCAAAGCTTTCAATGGACATTTAAACAAGTTTGATCAAGATCCTAAAGGATTTCTTTGAAGAATTGTAATAAGAGATAGAGCATGGCTTTACCAGTACACTTCTTTTTTGAGACAGAGTTTCGCTTTTGTTACCCAGGCTGGAGTACGATGGCGCGATCTCGGCTCACCGCAGCCTCCACCTCCTGGGTTCAGGCAATTCTACTGTCTCAGCCTCCTGAGTAGCTGGGATTACAGGCACGCACAACGATGCCCAGCTAATTTTTTGTATTTTTGTATTTTTAGTAGAGACGGGGTTTCACCTTGTTGACCAGGATGGTCTCGATCTCTTGACCTCGTGATCCACCCGCCTCGGCCTCCCAAAGTGCTGAGATTACAGGCTTGAGCCACCGCGCCTGGCCCCTTCTGAAGACAAAGCACAGGCAAAGCAATGGCTACCAAGAGATGGAAGTGGTCCAGTCAGGGCAAAAGCAGACTGGTCAGGAGCAAAGGTCATGCATGGCAAAGCAGGTTTTTGGAATGCCTAAATCATTTTGCTTGTTGACTTTCTGAAGGGCCAGAGAACAGTAACATCTGCTTATGAGAGTATTTTGAAAAAATTAGCCAAAGCTTTAGCAGAAAAATACCTGAAAGAGCTTCACCAAAATGTACTCTACCCTAACAGTGCAATTCAGGCCTCTCATCAAACTAGGGCAGTTCTGCAATAATTTTGATGGGAAATCATGAGGCATCTGCCTTGCAGTCCTGCTTTAGCTCCTTCTGACTTCTTTGATTCCTAATCTTGAATTTTTTTTAAGGGTACCCAGTTTTCTCCAGTTAATGTAAAAAAGATTGCATTGACATGGCTAAATTCCCAGGACCCTCAGTTCTTCAGGAATGGACTGAATGACTGGTATTATTACTTAGAAAAGTGTCTTGATTTGATAGAGCTTATATTGAGAAATAAAGTTTATGTTTTTATCTTTTAATTCTATTTTTCCACAAATTTTTTGAAGTCCCTTTATAAATATGTATTAAAAGGGCTCAAATACATGGAGTGAAATGTCTTTCCTTTTCTTCTCTTCCTCAGTGGACTAATTTTTGTGCATTCTGTTTTAGTTTATTTTTAAAATAATGCCTAGAGGGAACAGATATGTTTATGGAACATGAATGTTTAGCCAAGATGCTTTATCTGAAATCCAGGTAAAGGTGTTAAGTGTCTTGTTTTTAGAAATCACTTTTATTTCAATAAATAAAATGTTCAGTATAAGAAATTACTTTTAATAATTAGAAATATCAAAACATGCAATACGCAGCCTTTTGAGTTAACTCAGCAGAAAGCTGAATTTCACCAGTTAATCTACTATGGTTCTGCTACCATCATCACCCTCCCACCCTACCTCCACTGAGTTTTTCCCAAGACTTTTTTTTTTTTTTTTAATTCCAGAAAAAGTCAGCAAAGGGAATTTTCCCAGGATGTTTTAAAAAATGTTTTATTTGCTGCTCTCTTTTCTGATTTTGTTTAGAAAAAAAGCCAGTCTTTTATTTTATCAATTACATAGCAATCACAGTATTAAATATATATATTATTCTTTTTTATTCCATTTTTAGTCTGTTTTTATATAAAACCTAACCTTTTTGGAACCTTCCTTTTGGGATAGTATGTGAGCTTATGAAATTTGAGCTACTTTGTTATATTTGTCAAGACAGTCTTTGATTTAAATAGGTACTTAAAATTTTTTCCACTGTAATGCTAGCTTTGAGTTACAAAGATACCTATTTACAGATTCAGGAAAAAAATTAGTATATTCAGAAACCTAACATTTGTATATCGGTTTACAACATTCTGAGTTTTTAATGAATGTTTGGTTATGATTATGTTTTTCTACACTTTTAATAATCTCTTGCCTTTGACACTCCCTTTTTTTTTTTCCTAATAAAAAATTTAGGCCAATTGTGGTGGCTCACGCCTGTAATCCTAATACTTTGGAAGGCCAAGGTGGGTGGATCAGAAGGTCAGAAGATCGAGACCATCCTGGCCAACATGGTGAAACCCCGTCCCTACTGAAATACAAAAAAAAAAAAAAAAAATTAGCCGGGTACGGTGGCACACGCCTGTAGTCCCAGCTGCTTGGGAGGCTGAGGCAGGGGGACTCACTTGAACCCTGGAGGCAGAGGTTGCACTGAGCCGAGATTGCACCACTGCATTCCAGCCTGGCAACAGAATGAGACTCCGTGTCAAAAAAAAAAAAAAAAAGATTTGTATTTACTTTGAAGCATTCGGAAGGTCAACAAAACAACTGCAACATTTTTTTTTTTTGCAATTGCAAAGTGGTATTTAGTTACAGAACAATTATTTTGTATAAGCTGCATCAGAGACAACTGAAGATGAAAAAACCACCATTCCCATACATAGCTAATTTGTGCTATGCACCAAGAAGAACCTGCTTTAAATTTCCATGCCAATTTACAACCACCACCACCGCCCCCCCACCAACACCGTACAAAGCAAGGTTAGTGGCTGCTGAAAATACCACCAGGACAGGGCTATCTAAAGACACATTTGGTAGTGTGTTAACTGTATCAAAAAAGATACTGTACAGTTTACAAAATTTTACACAGCCTTACATTTCAGTTTTTTTCTTTAAAGGAGTGAGTTGTGTACAGGGGGTTAAATGCTTTATAGACAAGAAAAAAAACCACTGAAACCAACTTGTTTGTCATCATCTTAGTCTTCCTCCTCATCCTCTTCCTCATCTTCCTCTGTTTCTTGCTTGTTTCAGCTTTGACAACTCCCTTTTTCGCTGCATCAGGCTTTCCTTTAGCTCGATAGGCAGCAGTATTCTTTTCATATTTTTCTTCAGCTTTGCAGACTTCTTTTCATAAGGCTGCTTGTCATCTGCAATGTGTTACTCTTTTTTTTTTTTTAATTGCATTTTAGGTTTTGGGGTACATGTGAAGAACATGCAAGTTTGTTGCATAGGTAAACACATGGCAGTGTGGTTTGCTGCTTTCCTCCCCATCACCTATATCTGGCATTTCTCCCCATGTTCTCTCTCTCCAACTCCCCACCCCTCACTGTCCGTTCCCTCTTTCCCCCTGACAGACCCCAGTGTGTGATGCTCCTCTCCCTGTGTCCATGTGTTCTCATTGTTCAACACCCACCTATAAGTGAGAACATGCAGTGTTTGATTTTCTGTTTTTGTGTCAGTTTGCTGAGAATGATGGGTTTCCAGGTCCATCTATGTGCCTACAAAGGACACGAACTCGTCGTTTCTGATGGCTGCATAGTATTCCATGGTGTATATATGCCTTATTTTCCCTGTCCATTCTATCATCGATGGGCATTTGGGTTGGTTCCAGGTCTTTGCTATTGCAAACAGTTGTAGCGGTGTTATTCTACATCTCTCCCAGTTTCTTCGAAACATCACCAATGGACAGGCCGAGATGTTCTCCGTTGATTTTTGGGCGATACTCAGAACAGAACAGGTAAAAGGCTGAAGGAGGCCTCTTAGATGCATTGGTATCCCTTGAACAACTTTTTTGTCTCCTCTTTAGGAGGGATGTAGGTTTTCATTTCTCTTTCATGACAGGCCTTGTCCACCTTTGCCATATCTGCAAATTTTCCTTTCTCTTTAGCTAGCATGGTCTTCCACCTCTCTGAGCACTTCTTAGAAAACTGTGAGGGGCCAGACGTGGTGGCTCACACCTGTAATCCAAGCACTTTGGAGGCCAAGGCGGGTGAATCACCTGAGATCGGGAGTTCAAGAGCAGCCTGACCAACGTGGTGAAACCCACTCTTTTAAAAAAAAAAAAAAGAAGAAGAAAGAAAGAAAACTCTGAAAAGTTGACTGATCCTCCTGACAAGTTTGCACAAAAAATGCATATGATGACATTTTGCCTCTTGGCTTCTTAGGATCTCCTTTACCCATGTTTAGTTATTTAGGTTACTTTGTAGGATCTAGGTTTTTCCTATGCCCCCATAAGAATAATAGCTTTGAAATTTATGCCAGGATAGCAAAGAAGATACTTAGCTTTAGATGGTGTGGCTGCAGCCAGGATTTTTGCGAGGAGAGGTGATTAGGGCAGATTTCTTACTCTCCTTGCCTCGTCTGTAACGTGGGGATAATAATAGAATGGGCCTGACAAGGTTGGAATTAGTATTACATGATTAAGACATGTAAAGTGTTACATGATTAAGACATGTAAAGTGTTTAGAATGGTGCCAAGTATTTAGGAAGTACTTGGGTATGAGGTGGCGGTGGTAGTGATGTCATACTCTTACATGCATATCATTCCAAGAGAGTTTTAAATGTATACATTATTGTATTGATATATAGAAATTAAGCTTCTAGACTCTCTTTCCTTGATTCTGAAACCCTACCGAAGGTCATATCGATCTCTTTCCAACATTATTTTTTACTGCTTCAAGTATCATATGCTGCAGTCACGTTTAACTCTCATGGTTCTCTTGTACAAGCCATATGTTTTCTCACTTTTGTTGATAGTGTTTCACCATTTTGAATATTGTCCTATCTCTCTGTGTTCAAATGCTACCTTTTAAGTGAAGTTTTCTGATAGTTCTATAGGTATAACTATATAGGTAATCATGTGAATTTCATATATTTCCTCTTACTTGATTCTTTACCGTTTTCTGTATTGCACTTTACCCTTTTATTTACATATGTCTCTTTTACTGTGTTACACAATCTTTACAGGCAGAAAACTGTACCTTTTTCAGCATTGTAGGTTTAAAACCTATCACAGGCCTTGGCACTTAGTAGGCATTCATTTGTGTAATGAAAGTTTATGAAAGGTATAGCAAGCTAAAAGGTCATGTTTAACAGACAAATGTATGCCGGTAAAAATGTGTTTTGTTGGTGTTTGTAGATTCAAGAATGTCCTGGCCAGTCACTTAAAATGAAACCACTTTTTTATAAAGGATGGTATTTCTAACCACCAGATAATTGTTTTTCCGCTTTATGGTACCTCATTTTTCACAGATCTTCCTCATAATTGTCAGTGGTACAAATCTGGGAAAAGTCCATCCAGGGATAAGGGTTCATCAGTTGCCAATAGTGGGATAGATAAGCCACTTGGCTCAATAAATTACTGAACACATAATCTCACTCTTCAAGTACTTTTTTTTTTTAAATTGGAGTACCATAATGCCTTTAGGTGTAAAACTGGGCATACCTGAGAATAGGAAATGGGTGAGATTTTTGTGAGAACACTTGATCTTTGCTTGCTGTGATATTGCTAGGGGCTTGGCATCAAGGTTTGGAAGAAATGAGAACGGCAGGAATTGGAGAGAGAAGTTAAAATATCAGGCTCATAGTAGGCATTCATAGAGTTAAAGCAACAGTTGTGTGTGCTTAGCTCCAAAATTCTGAGAATTTTTAATTTTTTTTTTTTTGAGACGGAGTTTCACTCTTGTTACCCAGGCTGGAGTGCAATGGCGCGATCTTGGCTCACCGCGACCTCCGCCTCCTGGGTTCAGGCAATTCTCCTGCCTCAGCCTCCTGAGTAGCTGGGATTACAGGCACACGCCACCATGCCCAGCTAATTTTTTGTATTTTTAGTAGAGACGGGGTTTCACCATGTTGACCAGGATGGTCTCGATCTCTCGACCTCGTGATCCACCCGCCTCGGCCTCCCAACGTGCTGGGATTACAGGCTTGAGCCACCGCGCCCGGCCAAGAGAATTTTTAATTTAACGGGACATTGGATTGAATAAGCACTCTAATAGCGAAACACTGGATTTGAAAAACAGATGTTAATGTGTTCTAATCATAACCCTATTACTCATTGGCTATGACCTGGGATATATCACTACTTTTGCTTTTATAGAATGAGGAACATTGGGCTAGGTATTTACAGCCCTTAATATTTTAGGCTTTCAATCTAGCACCATATTTTAAAAACAAGAATTCTAAGCTTCTAATAACCGTCTGTCCCTGCTAGGTTAACTGTTTTTTAACAACCCCTGAGGATCAGAAGTCTTAGACATTTACTTGATAATTTTAGCATATGAGGAATTGGCAGCCTGGTGTTCCCAGAATCAAATTCTTTTTTTTTTTTTTTTTTTTTTTAAAGATGGGGTTTCACCATGATGGCCAGGCTGGTCTTGAACTCCTGGCCTCAGGTGATCCACCTACCTCGGCCTCCCAAAGTGCTAGGATTACAGGCGTGAGCCACCGCACCCGACCTTCCCAGAATCAAATTCTGACAGAAGTTTTAATGCCCCCCTCTATCTCACTGTTTTATTTAATAAAAGAGTTCTGATTGCTTTAATTGCTTGGTAAAACAGATATTTCAAATAATAGCCACATGAGACCAGTGATTAATTTCATTACGGTGTCATTTCAGTTGTATTTATGTGTGTGTACTGCCCACACACAAAAGTACTAGAGTGTAATTCAGTATTTTCTTCTGTAGTTCGTTTGTTTGAAAAATCTAATGTGATCCACAGAAGTGGTTTCATGACTTACTGTAGATTTCAACCTGCTTTGGATGGGGTGGGGAATCAACTGAATAATAACGCTTTAAATTTGTTTGCTAGGCACTTAGATACACTACTATGCTTATTTATGATAGCTTACAAATTAGATACAAATTAATCATTATCTGAAAAGGCCTCTAATTGTTTCAACAGCAGTAGTTTGAGGGGGGAAAAAGGCATGGAGGATGGCTTCCTTTTCTTGTTTTTTCCTTTTGTTGGCTTGTGATAGGTTTGATAATACGTTATTGAGTCTGCCAGTTCTAACAGCCCACGTAGGGATCTCGGATTTGTATTTATTTACATTTAGGATTACCTCAAATCCTATGGCAAGTAAAAAAAATTTTAAATTCCAGATTATTTCCCTCAAATTAAACCAGACTTCTTATTGTTTCTGAAAAAATCTTTGTTTCTTTTTTTTTTTTTTTTTTTTTTTTGAGACGGAGTTTTGCTCTCGTTACCCAGGCTGGAGTGCAATG